TGAATAATAACGCCGCTCATTTTGCAACCATCACGTCATCAGGGTAACAGCAGAAAGCATGCAATAGCTCAATCGTTCGGTTTAAAATTTGGTCAAGCAACAACAATCTATGTGATGGATAAATTCTATCTGATAGAACGCATTTAGTTCTAAATTAACGTACACGTTGACCGATCCAGTAATAACAATATAATTGAAAGCGACCGTTTATTATACCACAAGCAAATAACACTGAGTTAAATAAATAAATAAAATCCTATAAATAGCCATTGTCGTAAGTAAATTAATTTATTGTGCGGATTAAAATACGGAAAACTGATTTTCAAAAATTTTCATACAATTTTATGGTAAAGCCGTTACGTTCGTCCAAATAGATGTAGGCTTCACATTCGCTGTGCGGATATCTTCCAGCTTCGGAAATGCCATTTGCAGTTGTACTGTAATGTAGACAAAAGTTGAAGCCGCTATGCTGAACACCAAGCCGGGGTCGAATCGAAAACTATACATTGAACCTCGGCCATCTCGGAGTTCTAATGTACGGCGCACGGTTTTGATCAATTCGAAGGTTTCAGCTGAAAACGGGAGAATTTAAAATCCTAGAAAATACACAACATACGAAAGGAAATATTAATTTAGGTTCAATATTCAGTAATGGCGTTTGAAGTGGTCGTCACACGTCAAAAACAATTACAATACCAGTTGCTAATATGTTAATTTAGCAATTCAGTGTCGTACATGCCTATTGTATTTTTTTGTCGTTTATGCGAACTAAGACATTATTTAAGTTACTTTTACGGTTTAATCTTCCGATTATTCTTAGCATTTTGTTGTTTCTAATGCTTCGAATATTTCACAGTTCTGGTCTGTGATTAGGAAAAGTAGTTTTAATTTTATTCGTATGTATTGGTTTTTAATTAATTTACCCCCAGCTCACTGGGTACAATAACGGTGATGAAGCAGTCTCTGCCCGTCTGAACTTCTGAGAGAAGACTCGAAGTGAGATGCAATGTTACATGAAATGTGAGAGCAATGTTGCCGAAGATTATGTCAAATGCAGAGCGAAGCGGAAGACAATAACCACTAAAATCTGACTTTCTATC